TTTTTTAACAAACTACTCAACCAATAAAAAAAAAACAGTCCATTTATTTTGAATATGAGCTATATGAGTTAAAATATAAAGGGAAGTTTATTTGATGATGTTTTAAGTCAAAGATATATAATAACAAAATCCTAAAGGCCTCCTGAGAGTAAGTTACCATCTTTTTGCCTAATGGCAGAAAGAAATTCAGCAGATACATAAATTCTCATTTCTTTTAAACCATGAGTTAAAAAGAAACCCTACATTTTAAGAATTTCTTCCATACTGTGCAATTGTTAATGACAAAGAAGTTGGTGAAATGCAGAACAAGATGAGTGGGCTGTGCATCCCTTAATAAGTTTGGGAACTAATTGTGCTTTTTGCATATAATTGTGCTTATAATTACATTAATTTTATAAAGTTACTAACAATGACTTTCAAATATAGACTACTTTCATACATTCTTTCCCATCCCCGAAGAAATCAGATCAAGAACAACTAAATTGTAGGCTTTGCGCTATTAGGCTGAGATTTGAGGGTATGGTTTTTTTTAAAATGGAGTAAATCCATAGTAAAAAAAGAGTAGAGGTATGTTCTGAGTGAGGAATTATTCAGGTTTTTTTATACATGATATCAATGTTTCCCTTGAAGCAGCTATTGTTGGCTTATCATATAACTAACTAAGAGGTGAATCCCATAAGAATTATTCCAATGGAGAAGTCAATTCACTTTTCCTTTGGAGTAATTTATTAAGCAAATTGTTTTTTCACAATCTGCAAGAAAAGTGTAGGGGTGGGGGAAGACTGCAATTTCTGTTGTACTAGTGCTTTCCCCTCCCACATTGAAATTCGATGTAAACATGGGACTAGAATTAGGCCTATGCACAGGATAGTTTACTAGGAGGAGGATCATGTGGAAGCACTTGCTTTGGCAGCTGTGTCACAGGAATAGCAGCCAAGCAGGAGTGAAATCCAATTTAGCTTTCTCATGTTTAAAACACTTCCACAAGAATAACATTTTTAAATAAAAAGGGAAAAATTATCTTGGGCTATATTTACACAGGAAGAGAACACTACCTCCACAAACTGGGTATCTGTTACTTAAAACGTGATTTTCTTCTGTCTGCAACTCTCTTGTGAACATTTGAACAAAAAAGACAGGATTCACCGCAAACAGGAACCTATTTTTCACTGACGTGCAGATTCTGTTGCTTCAAGTGATCCTGAGGGAATAGCTGCCTGTCAATAGAGATTGTTGCGGCTGGAAATAGTGTAATCTCAAGGGAAATGCTATGAGGCGTGGGAAATACTGATAACACTACTTGATTTTGCGAAATGATTTCATCAAATCACTGGGAAGTAGGGTTGTTACTGTGACTGGGGAGGGTCAAAGGCACATCTATTTCTCCTTTCCAGTGCAGTAAAAATTTGATAGCAATGTCCTGTGGATGATTACAATACAGGAGAATACAAAAGCGCTTTCTTTGTCTTGATTGTCTAACTTCACATTGTGACTTTTATTTTTATTCCTTACTTTTGAAGAAGCATCCTCAGAAGACAAGGACGAGCCAGAAGATGTGCTGGAAGTGTATTATTTGGAAGAGATCCAAGGACTTAGTGGTACAGAATAACAAGACTGCAAGCGTAAAAACTCTTTGGGAATGAAGAGTGGTCACATACATGCAGTCTGACCTGAATTAAAAGCTGTATTGAGGATGTTGGATAAAGCATCAAGGAGTAACTTTGTTAGAAGCAAAGCCAAGCTGGCGTGCTCGGTGACCAGTTATTTTTAATCTTGCCCTTGGAATTAATTTTTGGCTTCTGGCCATTTTCTACTTTTTCAGTACAATGTTTGCTCTATTTTTTATTATCTAGATTGGCTGGCTCTTGGACTATTGTACCATTTTGTAGCTCAGCTCCTGTCTGCATGGTGATTTTTCTGAGAGAAGCTTTATCTATCCCAAGGGTGTCAAACTCACATTGTCATGGCAGCGTCATGTGACGTATCGGGAATTTTTTTCCCCCTTCGCTAAACCATGTGTGGCCAGTGCGCGACGCATCCTGCCCGTGGGCCAGGAGTTTGACAGCCCTGATCTAGTGGCTGAGGTAGACATTTCTGGTAATGGCTGAGGTAAAACAAGGCTACAGGTAGTCCTTGATTAACAGTGCTAACTGGTACTGGAAACTCCATCATTAAGTGGACACAGTCGTAATTTTTTTCAAAAAAAAAACATGTAACCATGCTGTTTAGCAACAGCAATTCCAGCAGTCCTGGTTGCCATTGTTAAGTGAGGATGTGCAGGTTTTTAAATAAGGATCATATGTGACTTCCAGCTTCCTGCCAATTTCCCCATTGATTTTGCTTGTGAGAAGTCAGCAGGGCAGGCTACATATCATTCATTCAGCACAGTCATAAACTTGAACAGTCTCTGAATTAGGGGTCGTTGCATGAGTACTGGAAAGGTACACGCACACACACACACACACACACACACACACACAGAGAGAGAGAGAGAGAGAGAGAGAGAGAGAGAGAGAGAGAGAGAGAGAGAGAGAGAGAGAGAGAGAGTAAAGAAATCTAATACCTCAGTAGCGTTTAATCTTTAATCTAGTTACATACTTCAGCAGGCCTAAGACTGGAATTTCTGGGAATTATAGTCCAAACACCTCCGGAGAGTGTTAAACAGAATGAGGGAGTTTCATTTCTATTCCCACTCTGCTAATTTCGTTTATTTGACTCTACCATCAAATATTGTTATAATTCAGTGTCATTTCATCTGTTGTATTTATTTTCTGTAATCTAATGAAAAAAGAGAGATTAAAATTATATTCATATCACTGGTCTAAATTTAATTGTGTGAGGTGAGGCTTGACAAAAATAAGAGGCATTTCTTGACTCATAAACTTCATTTATTTACTTATGAAAACATTTGCCTATTTTTAACAATCAACTATGCCTTCTAGGATCTCTCTACCTCTCTTTCTCTTTCATTTTATCTCCTCATTTTAGTATTATCTCAGTCCAACCCTACATTCTGAGGAATAGTTAATTCATATTAAATGATCCATATTCCCACCTAGCTTGACAAACAAAAAACAGGAAATAACAAATGTCCAGTGATATCATTCTAGGAATATCCAAACTAAACTGGCAAGCTTCATATCATATTAGCACTGATGATGTTACCTAGTTTGGGTAATGAAACATCTGCAAGGAAAAACAACCAAGCTCAGAGATCACCAAGGACCCATTATAACCCGAGCTACATATATTCTCCTTCATATCTGTTCCAGATCATATGTGTTCCATAATTATTTTATCTCTGGTCTTCTAAAGGAGTACAATGCAGTGGTAAAATCTAAAATGTGTTACTACCGGCTCTGTGGCCGTGGCTTGGTGGGGGGAGGGTAATGTGACTGGATAGGCATGGCCAATTTTTTTTTTTTACTTTTAAAACCATTTTTTCTACAACCTCTTCAGTTAAGAGGTTGCAAAAAAATGCTTTCAAAAGGCTCTGACGATCCCAGCTGAATTGCCTGATCGGCAGAGGCTTTTTTAAAAAGCCTCTGCCGATCAGGAAACTCAGCTGGGATCATCAGAGACTTTTAAAAGAAAAAAAGGGTTTTTTTTCTTTTAAATGCCTCTGACGATCCAAGCTGAGCCATGGGATCATCAGAGGCTTTTTTTTTTACACTTAAAAGCATTTTTTCAGCAGAAGAAGTTGTAGAAAAAATGCTTTTAAAAGTTAAAAAAAAGTCTCTGATGATTGTGCGGCTCAGCTGGGCATTGGGGGGGAGGCAGGGATTTTTGCTACCGGTTCTCCGAACCACCCGCCTCCATCGCTACTGGATCAGGTGATCCGGTCCAAAGCAGGAGCATTTCACCACTGGTACAATCCCTCTTCACAGGTTTTAATGGATAAGTGAACAAGCATCTAATGATATCAGTAACTTAATAATAGGAAATACTGTAGAGTACTTGAGTTCATCCTAGAAAACTACATAAACATAACCATTGACTTGTCTGACAGAGATTACATATGAAGTTGTTGGTATTTTTCTATTTATCTTCAATACATAAACAGAGTGGTAGGAATTGCTGCCACAAAGAGTTGCTTAATCAATGGCAATATCTAATATGATATTAGAGTTTTTTTAAATAATATATGATCTATTATATATAATTTAGCAATTTGCTTCCCAAACAACAATGCCTGATACATTTTATATGTTGACTTCAAAGCTATATATCTTTTGGAGTTTTAACTATAATGCATTTTACCCAGATGTTTCCTTGGAAAACAATGTAGTCATGAATTTATTTTGATATATGCAGAACATTGCTAAAGACAGCGGATATTTCCCAGATTTTAAACTATTGAATAGTGGGTAGAATTTAATTAAAGATCCCATAAACTCTTGGAACATTAGTTTGGTATTTATTGATTGCTATTACAAACCATTTTTCTATCTTTGTTTTTCTGCTGCTTGATAAATTAATGGAAAATTAAAGCATGGCAATGCCATTTGGGATGTAATTTCACCACTATAAACATTTGTATATTGTTGTCCATAGAACATCTGTGTTATAGTTTACATGATTGCACAAAAAACTGGCTTAGAGAATAATATAATAATTCCCCCTTCACATGTGTACATGAAAGTCAAAACAAATGTAGAGTGGTGATGCAGATATAGTTAGTTTATTCTCTGTATTTTTTTCAAGTAGTTAATATATACTTTCAACTTGTAAAAGTTGCTCAGATACTGAAGTCACAGATTTCTGGAACTCAATTCATGAGAAGCCAGATAAAACAACAAATCGTACAGTTCTTTTTCCAACTCCCCACCCTTTCAAATGTTCATTCTCATGCTGGGATAATAAGCAAGAAGAGAAAGGATGTTTGCATTTACATCCATTGGAGAGGAAAGGCTGAGAAGATAGTAAGCAGACACACAATGGGGAAACACATATTAACAGGAATGCATTATCACCTTGTATCAGGGGTGAAATTTACTTACCTTTGCTACCGGTTCGCAAATGTGAGCATGTGTGCCTCCTCCATGTATGAGCAGAGGGTCAAAAACAGAACGTGATGACATCTTGGAGGGGAGGGGGAGGGTGGAACCTCCTGCTGCCGGCTCTACTGATTTGCCCAAGCCAGATAGAACCAGCTCAATTTCATCACTGCCTTGTATTATTGGAGTCTTACGTCTCAGAGCTGAAGAAGCTTTTTAGATAAGAAGTAAAATATCTTCAAAGAAAAACCAGAAAGTCCAGTTGCCTCTTGAAAAAGCACCTTTGGGAAATTGGAGTCTTGATTCATTTGCATACTAATATGTGTATGTATTAAGGGTTTTTTTTTTCTTTTCTCCCAAGCACAGTAACTGCAGAACAGTTAGGCCATTTCAGTGAAACTGATGATGAAGCTCCAATTTGAAAAAGGCTACTGTAATATCCCAAAGAGTTGAGCAGAAAGTTCATAGAATGTATTAGAAATGGATTCAGCTTAACGACTGTTCTCCTAGGAAAGGGAAGGGGTAAAGTTTACTCTCTTGATTCAGAAGGCAGATGGTCTTTGCAAATGATTTTTGCAAAATGCCAAAAATGTTAAGCCTGATATGCTAGATGAAGCACTTTAGCATGTTTTTAATTCTCAGGTATTCCCACAGAGAAACCAAGGAAATCAAGCTTCTTAAAAAATAGTGCTAATGTTGCCTGACCAACATATTTATGCTGCTATTCCACTTTAGGGTGAAAGGTATAACTCTAGGCCTGTGTGATTCCGTCTAAATTTATAATTCAACAGCAAATGGATTAATTTGTAGTTGAGATTCAATTTGCAGAAAAAGAATGTTACAGGTTGTAAAAAGGGAGTTATTGTTTATAAGCAGTAATGGGGATTACAAAGCAATTACAAAGTTGCTCCATTGCTGACAGAATGGAATAAAAATGGTTAAGATACTAGAATCTTTAGACAACAGTATATTTCTCAAGTTGCCTCTGGATTTCACTGAGGTATTTTATTATTATTATTATTATTATTATTATTATTATTATTATTATTATTATTATTATTATTATTATTAATTATTATTCTTCAGGAAGTGATATGTAAAAGATGGCACAACAGCCTCAATATGATCTAGAATAAGTCACAATTGTGCAGAAAATATCCTATTCCAATGTCAACATCAGTTTAAAAATTAACTTACTTTTCAACTTGTTTTTCTGGGATTCCAGACTTGTCATGACACTGAAGAATGACCATTGACTTGACTTTGCCTGATAATATAATTTGTGATCTTTGATTACTGGGTTTTGGGAGTGTCAGAAAGATAGTATAGGACAGTGGTTCTCAACCTTCCTAATGCCGCGACTCTTTAATACAGTTCCTCATGTTGTGGTGACCCCCAACCATAAAATTATTCCTAAAACCATTGAAAATATGTGTTTTTCAATGGTCTTAGGCGACCCCTGTGAAAGGGTCGTTCGACCCCCAAAAGGGTTGTGACCCACAGGTTGAGAACCACTGGTATAGGAGGTATCGGAGGATGTCACCCTGGGGGAGGCCCTCTTCATCACTGGCATCAGTGCTTAGCTTTTCAGGACATGGCTTGTTTATGGCCTGTTGGCTTATTAGCAGAGACAGAAGCAGACATGGCAGTACAACATGGCACCAAAGTGATAGGCAAATCACAGAGAAGGTGGCATTCATAGCCTTGCCACCATCATCTCCTCCTGTTCTTATAGGCAGTGATGAGGTTTGCATTTTTATGTACTAGCTTGACACCCATTCAATCATTGTCTCCTGTAATGCAGAAGATAAAAGTAAGATTTGGCCCAAAAGAGGGGTCCAGACTGCTTAGCCCTGAGATTATATTCAGAGGTCTGAGTTGAGCTGTCAGCTGAGTTGGCAGGACTAGCAGAGAAGTGTAAGATTCCATTAGCACAAGAGAGAACAAAGATAAAGACATAAAAGAAGCTGAGACAGGGAATGACGCTGAAGGTAATGCAAGGCTTAGCAATCTTGCTCATCGGTGCACATTACAAGAGACAAAGAGCCTGACCACAATGCAGGAAAACAATCAGCAAAGAACATTAGCCAATTACACCCTTCTTATTTGTATCTAAAGACCCAATGACAGACTTAATTCATAACCTCAAATGAAAGCATTTGGGGTGGGGGAATCCTGTTAGGTTTTTGCACATGCCTATTCAGTAGGTGCCAATTTGAAATTTCAACCTGCCTCAAGTAGTATTGATAAAGGTGAGCTCTTGAGCTTAATGGCCTGATTACATGTCACACTTCTTCCTGAGCAAATATAACTCCCAGGGCTTTAGGAACTAAGGATTACAGATGTGATGAATTCAGTCTTCATGGTAGTGACCACTGATTTTATTAGTTGCAAAACTAAGCAAGTCTTCTTTAAGTCTGACAGGAATTCAAGAAGTTGCATTGTAGTGCAATCATTATAATATAAACCAGGGGTGGGCTTCAACAATTTTAGCAAGGGATTCTCTGCCCAGTTGCTGGATGGGTGTGGCCATGTTGGGTGTGGCCTAGTTGGCCTCCTGCACCATGGGGGAGGGTGTTTTTGCCATCCCAGGGATCCAGAGTCTTTCCTCAAGCCTCTGGGAGGGCAAAACGGTCTCCCCAGGCTCCGGAACTTCCCGACCATCCAGTAGGCCTCCATGCATGCCCTGCACTTACCTGCATCCAAAATGGGCCATGTGGGGACTCCTGGGAGGGGCGGGGCGGGGTGGGGTGGGCGGGACCAGCTAGGAGTGGGATTTGGGGGTTCTCTGAACTGCACAGAATTTTAGTTAGAGGTTGCGAACCCCCAGCAGCCCATCCCTGATATAAACTTAATCTTGAGGACTGGGGCTTATGGAAAAATTTATCTTTTGTGGCTGCAAAAGTTGATCTTCTGAGAAGACTTCTCTCTCAAAACCCTTTCGCGACTAGGTGCTAGGTTTTCTGAGAGGGCCTTGGTGAAATAGGCCATTCAGGACAGAGAGAATTAAAGTGCCAATCAAGAGACAGGAAATTATGTCAGTATGATGGAAGCAGCCGTGATAAGCAACAGGGCTGTGAGAAACAGGTGCAGAAGGAGCAGAAAGTAGGACACATATCCCCTTAACAACTGTTGTAAGAAGGCAGCAGTGATACAATAATTGTAACTTGGGAGACTGGCCATTAGGCCACTAAATCCAGAAAAAGTAAAGCAAATTTTGGAGACCAGGCATAATTCAAAGTCATGGCTCCTTATTCCCAAGGCTGGAACATTTGTCTTCTTAAAAACAGCCTGTACTTGACAAGCTCCATTATCACACCCTTGCTCTAAACTTAGCACATTAGACTAAGAGAAAAGAGCCATTGCCTTGTCCCTTCTTAAAAGAAAGCAAAGCATTAGCAATTCACGGCCATTCACACCTTTTTCCCTATCTATCTTAACAGAAGCAGCATGCATTTGGAGCCAATCCACTTACTAAGTGTTGAAATTTAATTTTATACCTGCCCCAGGCAAATCAAAGAACATTTTTGCTTGACTATGTTTCTTTAACTTTTGAAAACTTTCAGCTGACTGCATTGAATCAGCTTTAAGGCTGAGAATCAGAGATGAAGGAAAGATACCTCTGGATTGGACAGCAAGAAAATTATATTGGGACAGTTTCAGCGTTTAGACTCCTCCTGCCCTATTTCCAGTATTGAAATTGGGAGGCCAAATGATAGATCATTCTGTCTCTCCACCATCCCCAAAAAAAGCCACATTTGATATTTGAGCTATTGGCTGATTAGGCCTATGTTAAACCCTGTACTCTAATAATAATGTTAAGAATTATGAAACTGATGCTTGGCCCTACCCAGGAGAGTTTGCACAACTAGAACTGTGATTTAGGTTGAACAAATTCTGATCAAGCCAAAATCAACACAATAACGGCAGCAATGTTTCAGGAGAGGAGGGAAAGTACTCGTGCTAATTGTAGACTTAGCACTGTGAGATACTCAGGAAGTGGGATAGTCACATTTAGGAGCTACAACTGCTCCATTGACTCATATTCATGGAGGTGCAATGGAATACATCAACAAGGCTTTCTGAACACCTTTTCAACATGAGATGCTGATTGACAGCCATGACAGGAATTCCCAGATAACCAAGATCGGATCCTGCCAACATCTAGCTTTCAATTGCCCAGGATTCCCAATAGATGCTGTACAACTCCTTCCCAGATAACTAAAGAACAGGTGCCCAAAGTGCAATCATATCCCACTGACTACAGTGAGGACACTACAATAGTAGATGAATTGGTAACAGCTGGTGCAGCAGCAGCTAAATAGCCCTTTCTGCCAATAGCTGTTGATGTGACAGCTGTTGCTGAGGTTTGGTTGAGAATTTGCTGTCATTAACTATCAGTTGGTGAAAGTGAACCGTGCCTTTCCACCATTGCCTGATGCTAATTCTTTACCCCCTGAACAATCCTGACCATATCATCCTTCCATGGCTGCAGAAAAGTGTTGTCCCCCTTTATGCCTGTAACATACAAGACCTCTCCCTGAACAGCTCTAATCACTTCCAGTTTCCATTTTTCAGCTACATCTTTTCAAACTAATGCAGACTGGTGGTTTGCATAAATTGGAATATTGGATGCATGAAATTCTCCCTATGCCACATGGGAGATTTCACAAAGGAAGCATCAGGCTAAAGAGACATTTACAGGACCAGTGTTCTCAAGAAACACCTTTTTATACCATTGTTCATGCTTTTATTGAGTGGTGCATTCCTCTCAATTTTATTATAACTTGTTTAGTACTACTGCTGCTGCTGCTGCTTAACCAGGTCTTTAATATCAGGAACATGGGATTTCATGGTGTTATCCTAAAAAGATCTGGCTATTATTGGTGACTCTCAGTTGCCAGGTTCTGCTTCAGCTTTCATCCCAGACAGTGAAAATGGCTTGTAATTTGAATACACAACTTTGTGAGATGGCCTTTGGATAGTTCACTGATAGTCCTTTCTTCCTTGCTCAGGGTATATTGGATGCTCAGCTGAAGCTTGTGAGCAAATCAGAGTCTTGTTATGTAAGACAATAAAAATATTGTTATGTTAACCAGTTAAAAAATGGAATAGGACTGCAAAAGTTTA